AATGCAAAACTTAGTTAAATGCCTTAAATTTTCAGTGTCGCGCATCTAGAGCTTTTTTGTATATCAATGGTATTGCACATCATTTTTCCGCAGCCAGGACATTATCTCGACTTGTCAAATTACACAGTGACGTCAGGAAATTACTACTGTAATCACGTTTCTGTAACACAATTTTATATAAAAGCTTTGTGATTGCTTAGGGACGGAGAAAACGTTTGCCGTGTAATGTAAACGACGTTGTCAGTCACAGACAAAAGTCGAGTCATTTATTGAATTGTTCAGCATTTGAAGTCGTATATTAATTAGTGAATGGTAGCGACTGTGCTGAACATATTGTTAATAAATAATTGGAAACAATTACTTAAGAGGTTACAATTTGCAGTGATTTATTTATTTATTAACCGACGAAAAGAAAGGTTTTCCAACTTTGTTAGTGGCAACGTGGTTTTCAAACACTGATATTAATATAATTTTTAAGTGACTTCATAAAGGCGAAGATTCTCGATCCGTCTGTATTTTTCATATGGTTCGTGTTATTTTCATAAGTAAAGCTGTAGTAATAATTTGTTTCATAACCAGCTGTAACCGTCGGCTATACCGCATAAATTAGCAGTATTAATCTAGAATTCACGTATGTACCAAATTTTATTCAAATATACCTATTAAAATATAACAAGAAAAAATATTATTTGTTAAATTAATAATAAAAACTTTATATATATTTTTTTTAATATGATATTAATTTTTTTACATAATTCCTATTTGTTATGTCTATTTTGTGACGTCCAGAGCGCGTTCATGTCTATGCTGCTCTCCATCAGATCGCCATCAGCTTGCTTGGCATTCTAATTATCATAAAATATAAATAAAAAAAATATAGTTTGAACGTTAAATAAAATATTATATACTTATTATATTCTATTTAATGTTCAGAGTCATAAAATAGGCAATAAAATTATAATGGGACTGATCCATCTTAATCCCTCGCAACAGGTAAACTATCTATTCGTAATGCTTCGAAGAGCTCGTAACAACGAGTAACGTTCTACATGAATAATTCCATGTTATCTATTATATGTAATGGGGTTCACAATATACTCCGCGATAACAACAAGAATAATAATAATTCACCGAAACTGATAGGGTTGCCTTTAATATATAATTCACGGTAGTAGCATAAACACCAAAGTGTGTTATATCCATGTTTCCTCATATCGGGTTCGATTCAGAGACGCCATTTCTATAAACATATTTCTAAAATTTCAATTTCACAAAGAAATCTTTATTCAAAGGACTAATATGAATAAAATGTATAATTAATAATAGTCAAATTTATTATAAAATTAGTTGATGTTTGCCCATTAAAGAGCAATTTCGCGAAACTATCAAATTAAATAATTAGTTTAGGAGATAAGTTTATAGGCATGTCAATTCTGTGGTGCCATCCCTATAAAGCCATTGTTGCAATATTTATGGATATAATAACTTCATATTTCGCCTGTTTATGATTTCAAAACAAAAATTTTAAGACTAGTCAATTACCACTGTACTTTTGACAAGATTTCTTTTTTTAATATAAATATAATAACTATAGGTACGAGTATAATGATCACCCACATCTAAAGTATGACGTTGTTTTTCTTAACAACTATAAATGCTATCAGCGAAACAATTGAGCTTTATATAGCTACTCGCTGTACAGTTAGACGCGCTGTATTAGTATAGGATTTACCTTCAAGAAAAATATTAGTACATAACTGTACTAATATTATTCTTGAAGGGTAATATAACCGGTTTTGATTTAGAAGACACTAGATTCTATTATTCTAATGAAAAACTACTCTAATTGTAAAATAGATAAATGTATATAAAATATTAGAAATATTAAAGGGTGTTGAACGAACACTGAACGAAGTATAAATTATATACCATCAAAGCACTACTACGGAAATTGATTTTCGTCGATAATAGCATAGTTTACCGTATACTAACATTTGTTATGGATGTAATAACTATGCTGCGGAAAGTAATACAATAAATTTTCAGAAAATATTTTATAAACCCCGACCATGGACGAGGAAATTATTAGTCTAGTTGCTAGTGTAATGTAACTCGTTCTTCATTTCCAGCAATACAGACCCTACTCAGAATCAGGTCGGCCTCTACACGATTCCCTTGAAAACCATCAAAATTAAATATTGGCTAAATACCTATTCAAAAATACTTTTAATTAAATTTACTTGAATAAAAATTATATTTATTTGTTTATTTGTAAGGGGTGAATTCGTCACGATAGACTAACTGACCTGACGTTCATTAATTCATTCCCACCTGTCATATCTTACTGATACCACAGCTGCGTAAACCAATAACGCAGGCGAGATTACCAATTTAATTTCATCCATTACGCTGCTATACCTATTTCAAATTTTTCAATCACACGCACAATTATTACAATTTGAATCTCATATTTTACCAATAATTCTGTGGTAACAAAACATTGATTCTTAATATAATATGTAATTAATACAAATATAGTTCATCATCATTTATCTACATGACAAATGTCTTGTTACATATGTAAAAATACACAAATTTTATATTTTTCACTATTTATAATAGATAATGAATTTAAATTATAATAGATGAAGTTTAAGATAATTATTAATAAAAATTAATTGAAATGATATCAGATATCAGTAATTTAGAATAAACAAGTTACTACCAAAAATAAACTCAATAATTTTGCGATATCTGCTAAGAAACAAGTTCGACTTTTATTCCCTTCCTTCTCCTGTACGAGAACAATCCACCATTTGTTATTTCAACAGAACAAGTAATCTCGAACAACTCAAAAGTTGGTTAGCCTGATTTTGTTTCATAACATTGGACCGACCAGCTACATAACTTTGGTATTTTTAAGGAAACATTTGATCCTTCTCATTTTTAAGCATTTCTAATGTTTATTAACGTGCGAAATATTTTTAAAATACGATTTAATTTTTTTACCTCAGTTACAACAAATGATAATAAAATTAACTTATACCAAACCAGTTTTTGGATTATTCTAAGTTAATGTTAATTTTATTTTAATGCAATCAGCTGAGCTGTCTTCAATATTTTTGATAAATATAAACGTAGATAAATATTTATTATAATATCATCTACGCACATTCAAAGAGACAACTCGAGAATTTCAAGCGATACAGCGAAAGTAACGGATTGGCAAATAACGCTTTTTAGATGAGTTACACGAATTTTGCTGAAATAAATTAATCAAGCAGTAGGGCAGACCACGTAGCGTAAATTTACGAGTAACCTCAATCCCGCCCGCGCCACCGCCCCGTCTCACTACAACTCATCAATTTTCTTAGAACCCAGGACATAGTACTTGGAATTCTGTTAATTAAACTATGCCGCCAAATTAAACCGGGAAAATCGAGGGTCATGTTTTGCTTATTATGTACATTACCCACACTTGACCCTTGTCATTTTAAAAGTACGATTTACAAACGAATCGCTGCATTTTGACGCAGTCACGTCCTATTCACTGAAAAGCACGTTAAATTGTCGTATAAGGAAGTAACAACGAGGAGCCAACGTAAGGGAAGCATGTAAACGCAAATTATTATGTGAGGCACGTGGAATGGAGATTATATTGAGATTCCACATACAGGGTGGCTATATTTAGATTTTAATAGAAGAAAATGTGTCAAATTTTTTTATTGCATTTTATTTTGCTCATAATATGACAAAATTTACGAATTTTGAAAATGTAATAAAGAGATAATTATTTTCACATTGTAATTTAGAATTTGAGGGAAATTACTGTAATCTTCTGAAGCAGCAGTGGAAACAATGACATGAATACAAATAAATAATAATTGTATATACCCGTGTGTGATAAAATTCACTTTTTATTTGCCAAAAGAATATATTTTAGGTATATTGTCCTGTGTATGGGCTCCACAACAACTACAATGCTTTTCAAACTGAAATATGCAAGCACCGCTGCTTACATAGTTTTGTTTAAGTTTTAAAGGCAGAAATATGGGAGTGAAATTACTATATAAAGTGGCATAACACCATAATCCTTAGGAATGGTGACGTCTCAGAGGTATCTAAGCGTGTTAATCGTATTGTCGTAATCATCCTGGAATACACTATTCCAGGATGTTCTGTTCATGTATACAAAGATTACCGTTTTCTAAGCTACATTATGTAAAAATAAGACTAAATTTCTTTACAAGTGAGGTTTTGAAACCAATCACGTTACATAGTTTTTGGCTTATAATCTAAAATGTGACAAAAAATACCATTCCCCCTTCATCTCATTAAGATTAGAGGGAGACTTTGTACAAAAATCGTTTACTTGTGTACCTCTGTGCCATCCGTGTTTCAACCGTGAAGCAGTTGTGTTTGCATGGCTGTGTTTCGATTTGAAGGGTGAGATATGGCAGTGAATTTACAGAATACAAAGGAATAACACCTGAGTCCTTAGGAATGGCAACACTCGGAGGGTATCATGGGCGAAAGAGTATACTCTGTTATGTCCATGGTACTGCTCATGTCTATAGGCAACGGTTACCACTTTCTATCAGGTGGGCCGTCAGCTCGTTTGTCATTCTACGTTGTATAAAAAAAAGTAAAAAAATTTGAGAAAATGTCAAAAACCTCTAAAAACACACATAATTATGCAATCGACTTATTAATTAAAATCGAGATAATAAGTAATTTCGAATTACTGTATCAATAATAATAACGATTAGATATATATTTTATGTAAAATGATTATTTTATCTTATATCTATGTATGGAACCTTCAACGTGTGAATTCAACTCACATCTGACCAGTTTTATTTTCTCTTCTTTTTTACATTTGGTAAATCATAAATATAAACACAGTCGTGTACTACGCTCATGAATAAAAGCCGTAAGATTCAATACATGAGTAAAGTTGAAGTAAAAAATTACAATATAATATGAGAATAAAAACTAACCGATTAGACTGTGCCGACTGGCGCCGAGGCTGGGCGCGGGCGGCGAGCCGGCCGCTCGCAGCGCGCCGAACGCGCCACCGCCGCCGCCGCCGCCCAGCGCGCCGCCTTCCAGCGCGCCTGCAATAATAAAACGTGGTTAGAATATTCTTCTACGGAGCACTCATTCACACATAAGGATTTTTTTAATGAAAATGGAACGGTGTCCCCGCTTGCACTAACGGGATATCGGTGACAGACGATGGAAGCTAATGTCAGGTCAGTTAATCACGATGGATTCTAAGAGAATCGCATACAGGTTGATCTGATAACGGATATTACTAGCAACAGATTGTAACATTCACATAGGGTTAGCTTCAAAAGGACTTTATTCCACACGCTACACATACAGCGAGATGACAGCAAATTAAAAAAAAAGGATACTAACATAACACAACTCTCCATATATATATATATATATATATATATATATATATATATATATATATATATATATATATATATATATATATATATATATATATATATATATATATATATATGTATATGTGTATATATATATATATATATATATATATATATATACATATATCTATCTATATATATATAGAAGAGAGAGAGAGAGAGAGAGAGAAGAGAGAGAGAGAGAATAAAATAAAAGCATAATTAAATAACATGTATATTAAGAAGATTTAAAACATTATTTTCTATTATATACATTATTCACCATAATTTAAATCCTATTTAAAAAATATAAAAAGTAATATAAATAAACAAACTCACATAAGTGTAAATTTTGATACCCACTGGAGAATACCCTTTGTTTCGGTCACGTAGAGCCCAATTCGACATTTATGGATAGAACTTATCCTAGATTAACAAGCAGGATACTTTTCGTTATTATTTCAGGTGGACACAATCGCGCATTGCAGCTAGTTATGTTATAAAGTATAGAGGTCTTTGTTTTTAGAGGCTTTCGGTTACCTACCCGGTAAGGGACTTGACATAAACTAAATAGAGTATTGTACACACACATCGTTTCCGAGAAATTAGTTACAGTCGCTTAATACTTGTATAGCATACGTAATATTCATTTACTTTTGTACGCTCTTCCGACTGCATAATTTCTGACGTGCTTTATAAAGTTTCCCATTTGAATCCAGAGTCTGGTCGATTCAAATATGTGTTAAACTGATCTGTCTATTTGTATTTGGGTGATAAAGCAGCAATAACATCTTTAAAATTTTCGATAAAGTGTAATAATAGATAAAAAATTAAATACCATGAAAGAACTTTCAAATAACAATAAGAAAACTGTTATTTTTCTAATTTTATAAAATTCTACGTAAAATTATAATGAACTAGAAGGAATGCAATGTTAACTTTCCAAGTTGTGACATTGTTTTAGAAGATGAAAGGTTTTAAACAATTCGACCCTAACATATCAACCCTTTCAATAAAATTCAACGGTGCGGAAAGTGACATTTCTTCACGCGGAAAAGTAAAGGAAAGTCCCTTAGAATAAAATCATAGCAATATTTGCTCTCTCTTTTCAGCTTAGTAGTTGGTACTCAAGTAGGCCTAAAATATAATATCAGTACTCGTCGCCCGGTAAACCACGTCAGAGGCCTTTATGTACAATGAAAGGCGTCTAGAAACTCTTAATATCAACGCCACCCTCACAAGAATACTTAGTAATAATAGATACGCTTATATACGTAGTTTACTATAAAATATATATATATATATATATATATATATATATATATATATATATATATATATATATATATATATATATATATATATATATATATATATATATATATATATATATATATATATATAATTTTTATACTGCTAAAACGGAATTGGTGATCAAGCATACATCCCACCTAATAGTAAATACGGTAATCTACAAGTGTTTGGAATACCATATTATGCATTATACTTTAGCGATATTACTATATATCTTACATAGTAATTTCCCGTCCATAATAGTATATAAAAAAACAAACCGCTTGACCACAGAGTACCAATACAGCTAACCAGATTTTTATAGGTTGTACATTAAAAAGTATTTTATAGTAACTTCCAAATAGATCAGGTTCTTATTAATCTTTTTTTATAACTATGCTACACGATTACTTATCTTACTCCCGTGTCAGTTACATGTAGATGTTTTTAAGAATTACAGCTGAAGAAATATTTTCTTTGAGAAATAGTCCTTGCTTGTTGCATATCAAAGTCTATTTGCAGATATACGATTCTACGTTCTAAATTCAAATTTTCAATCTAAACTCATTTATTTACTGGAGCCGATGTTTTTTCTTTACAGAAGCATAAACTACTTGTTTATTATGTATGTTTATATATATCCTTTGTTGGCTATATAACCCTTATTTAGCGCGAGAGCTCATCACATCACAAGGTTAAATTGTGATAAAAATAGGACATGAAATTGATAGGTCCTTTCGTTTCCAATAAAGCGAGCGATAAGGGCTTCGGATATAGTAGCCAGACGAAATGTGCACGAACTGGACACTAGGGACACGTCACGTTAGTTTATACCTCTCTAATGTGGCGATCCTTCGTAACTTACTACGGTTTTCTTATAAATTCGAATAGAATAGCTATCTACTATTTCTTGTTATAAAAGTCTAACCAATCCCAGGGTTACGTATTTATCAATCGACTTCAAAAAAGAAAAAGAATCTCAATTCGATTATGTTTTTCATGTATGCTACCTCTTAACTCCTCATTTATAAACCTATAATCATTGTATTATATTTCAAATATAAAAAGTATATACTTTCAGATTGTTCCCGTGGAATTTTTATACAAATCGATTAAGAAGTTTAATTTTTAATTAAAATAAACAACTTTACAACAATTGAATTCAGTTTTTTTTTTTTTGTTTGTGACGCACAATCTTATTAATCACATTTGCACTTATGTCATGTTATTGTAAATACACATGATATTAGTACTTAACACCCACTGCAAATACGTATATATAACTAATATGCTGTATTAATATGTACAGGTAAATGACTCTCATATGTACGGTAAGTATGGTACCTTAACTACTTATATTTACTTTACAATAAATAGGCACTAAAACACACCGTTGTACATACGACCACATTATTATTTTTATAAGCAGAAACCGTCCTAATACGTCTTATAGTAAATATGAAGGCCGCAATGGTGGCGACCAGAATTTCCCAGCTTATTTCCCAAGTCCAGTCCTTCGCTTTTATGGACCATGTTAAGTAAATTTATTGCTGTTTTTTCCACATTTTCTATACACATTGTTTCAGCTGTGTGCTTGGTAATATTTTTATGAACATTGTTATACCCGATTCTGCACCATGTGTTGATGTAATTTCGTTTTATGAATTCATTTCCGCGTTTACATGACCAGTTACAAAACCAATAGCATGTATTCACATTATTAAGCATGTGTATGGTTGTTTATAAGTATTTCATTCCTTGTCATAATCAATTATATTGTAAAACTTTAAACAAGGAAGGAAAAATTGTTTTCAAAACATTTGTAATATATATTAATAAAAGTAAAGACTAAACAATATATCTTAATATTTTATGTCTGCTGCCCATATAAATTAGAGTAAACATTAGGTATTTTACAAGTTACTCTAGTAAAACCTACCGGTGTACCAAAATTCTTTAAAATCCTTTTAAAAGGACATTCATTTCAAGTTTTTAAAAATATAAATTTCTATATATTTTCATAGATTTGTGCATTTCTAATACCATTTATTCACAAAAAGACTTCAAACATTATCTCTGTATTTCCAAACATTAAAGTATTTTGTTTTTTAATTAAATAATAAATATGGACAGAATACAACATAAAAAATCATTTTAGCAAATAACTACACTTAATATACAACTGTTAAAACATTCATGTCTATGCACTACGAATGCTGCCTCGAGTTTTAATAATAATAACAACTTCATATACCGATTTGTGATAATAATGTATTGTATTTCAATTCAATTATCCACATGTGTAGAAAATATAACAATGTATATAGTAAGATAAATGCTGTACAGATGAGAGCTTTGAGAAGTATGTGTGGTATTACTTTAAAAGATAGAGTAAGAAACAGTGTGATTAGAGAGAAGTGTGGACTGAAAGTCGATGTAGTGACCAAAATCGAAAAAGGAATGTTGCGTTGGTTTGGTCATTTGGAGAGGATGGATGAAAGAAGAATTACGAAAGAGATTTATCGAGCAAGAATGAATGGAGATGTCGGTAGGGGCCGCCCTAGACGGACGTATGTCGACCAAATAGGCGACGTGCTGAAGAAGGGCCAAATTAAAAGTACCCGTAACCGACGAGCGTGTATGACAAGATTGATGAATGTGGAAGAAGCGAAAGAGGTTTGTTTGAATCGAAGCATTTGGCGTTCCATTGTTTCTGCCTACCCTAATGGGAGACAGGCGTGACAGATATGTATGTATGTATGTATGTATATAGGGACCTTGATATCTTCCAACAGTCTTTGCAATGTTATATTTAAACTGTCAATTTATTAAGTTAAATCTATAGCCGCTATTTTCTTAATTTATATTATTATAGTAAATATTATGCAGAATAATTATTGGAGTACAAATTTGATGCTGTGTTATATAATATTTATTTTATTAATGTATTGATATGTATTGTTATTTTGTTAAAATAAATAGAATAGAAATATTTAATTTAAAATGTAATGTACAAAGGCGAGTTTTCTTTAATAAAAGACTTCATCCAACAAACCTTTTCGTGTGAAATAAACTGTTATTTAAAAACCAAAATTGGCAATCATACTGCAGATTTATGTACATTACATTGCAATAAAAACACTTAAACTATGTTTATCCTGTTCTTGAAAGAGAATTACTTTATACCGCAGATTTATTGTTTAATTCACTGCTGTTAAGAAATCTTTCAGAAGAAAAAAATACCTTACAAGTTACCGGTAAGAGGATGTAATTGGCCTTATTTTGATCAAATAATAATCAGAATACCTATTTATTTTGTAATAAATACTCTCTAACTTTTTCCTATATATTTTTATTAGATGACACGTCAATATTTTATTAGT